GGACGCAGTCACCGTCCTCAAGGATAGCAGGCCTTTTGTATCATCAATCCTATTCTTTGAAATGTGTCCCAATCCTTCCCTCTTACCCTACCCTATGGCTGCAACGTACACATCTTTTGATACTCATTTATACAGTGACATTTTCTCTGTGTTTGCTCATGGCATCATATGTATTTTTCCTCTGCTTTCCTCTCTTTCGTTACAATCGTTTGCATGTTTGTATCCTCAGTTAGCTATATCCTGAACTCTGTAAGAGCAAAACCACACTTTAAGTTAGCTTTATATCTCCAGCACCTTGCAAAGTGCCTGATGCATGATTCTTCACAAATGACTTGTTGCGTGAATGAATAAACTTATGAATAAAGAGTCATTTTATTTTCTTCCCTGTCTTACCTCAGGTACAGAAATTAATGCGGAAAAAGCAATTAGATGTGGCAGAGTTTAGCATCTATTGGGATGTCGATTGCACTTTATTGGGGGATTTGCCTCAGGTGGAGTTACAGGTATGATGCTCGCAGAGGGCTTTATTGCAACACTGCACTGAAGGAAGGTGGTGCGGGATCACTGTCATGTGGGTTTTGTTCCCTGCATCTCTGATTCCCATTCCCGACCCCTGTCCTCCAGATGCCCCCACTCAAGTGTGTTGCTTGAGGTACTTGCTGTGTATGTAACTGAACAATCTATGTGTTTTGTGTATGTTTTACATTTACATTGTATTATAGATTTTTTCTGTTTTACACTTAAACCTATGTTTTTAAGATTGATCAGTATTGCCATTTACGTCTAGTTCATTGCTTCTTACTGTTGCATAGCATTCTGCAGTAAGCATCAAACATAGTTACGCATTCTTTTAGCCATCGTATACTAGGCATTCAGGTTATCAATGAATAAACACCAGACCTGATTCTTAAAGAAGAGCTTAGTTATTATGTTTATGTTGAAACTTAACTTTCGGTGGCATGCCTTTAAGAAATACTTAGAAGGTGATTGTAACTCATTGGCTATAAAGTACCGTGAAGGATTAAAAAAAATTTCAGTTTAATCTTTTTTTTTTAAATTAAAGATTTTATTGGGGAATTGGGGGAGGGAAACAGTGTTAGGGAATCGGAAGGGGAACAGACAAGTTGCTGTCCTTTTGTTCTTCAGTCTAGTTGTGGAGGACATTGCTTCACTGGCTCATGTTGGTATTATCATTG